ATGACGTAATTATTCGAGTAGTTTAAAAGGAGAATGGGTAACTATTATTTTTCAATGATACGGGGATACGCAGTCATTAAAATGACGTAATTATTCGAGTAGTTTAAAAGGAGAATGGGTAACTATTATTTTTCAATGATACGGGGATACGCAGTCATTAAAATGACGTAATTATTCGAGTAGTTTAAGAGGAGAATGGGTAACTATTATTTTTCAATGATACGGGGATACGCAGTCATTAAAATGACGTAATTATTTGAGTAGTTTAAAAGGAGAATGGGTAACTATTATTTTTCAATGATACGGGGATACGCAGTCATTAAAATGACGTAATTATTGGAGTAGTTTAAGAGGAGAATGTGTAACTATTATTTTTCAATGATACGGGGATACGTAGTCATTAAAAAGACGTAATTATTCGAGTAGTTAAGAGGAGAATGGGTAACTATTATTTTTCAATGATACGGGGATACGGGAATACGCAGTCATTAAAATGACGTAATTATTCGAGTAGTTTAAGAGGAGAATGGGTAACTATTATTTTTCAATGATACGGGGATACGCAGTCATTAAAATGACGTAATTATTCGAGTAGTTTAAGAGGAGAATGGGTAACTATTATTTTTCAATGATACGGGGATACGGGGATACGCAGTCATTAAAATGACGTAATTATTAGAGTAGTTTAAGAGGAGAATGGGTAACTATTATTTTTCAATGATACGGGGATACGGGGATACGCAGTCATTAAAATGACGTAATTATTCGAGTAGTTTAAGAGGAGAATGGGTAACTATTATTTTTCAATGATACGGGGATACGGGGATACGCAGTCATTAAAATGACGTAATTATTCGAGTAGTTTAAGAGGAGAATGGGTAACTATTATTTTTCAATGATACGGGGCTACGCAGTCAAATCGTGCTCATTTGATATGCAAAATTTATATATACTAATGAGTAATATTTTGAATTTTTTTCTGTGTTGGTGTTGTGTACTCAGGTGAATAATATGTTTGCGATGTTATGCACTCAGAGTAATATTTTGTGCAGGGTTTAGTTGAGAACGTGAGAAATACAATATATGAGTAATATTTTGTGCGGGGTATATTGAGAACGAGAAATACAATATATGAGTAATATTTTGTGCGGGGTTTATTGAGAACGAGAAATACAATATATGAGTAATATTTTGTGCGGGGTTTATTGAGACCGAGAAATAAAATATATGAGTAATATTTTGTGCGGGGTTTATTGAGAACGAGAAATACAATATATGAGTCATATTTTGTGCGCGGTTTAGTTGAGAACGTGAGGAATACAATATATGAGTAATGTTTCGTGCGGGGTATATTGAGAACGAGAAATACAATATATGAGTAATATTTTGTGCGGGGTTTATTGAGAACGAGAACTACAATATATGAGTAATATTTTGTGCGGGGTTTATTGAGAACGAGAAATACAATATATGAGTAATATTTTGTGCGGGGTTTATTGAGAATGAGAAATACAATATATGAGTAATATTTTGTGCGGGGTTTATTGAGAACGAGAAATAAAATATATTTATAACCCTTTATTATTGAAAATATAGATTAATTATTTGATTAACGATTCCCCGTTTATTTTGATACCGAAACATTAGAATAATTACGTAATTTCCTTCACTGCGTATCACCGTATCCCCGTATCATTGAAACTTAATATTTACCCAAACACTCGAATAATTACGTCATTTCATTCACTGCGTATCACCGTATCCCCCAAAAATGAACAGTATCAGAAATGGACGGGTATTCTATAATCTAGCCCAGGCAGCTAAATATCGTGAACTCTCAAACGATTCCCAATGTTTCCGGTCCGTAATTTTCATTATTCAAAATGGGACGTTGTATGACATCTACGAGAAGACTGGCCTGATGTAGCAATTCGCTGTAAACTCAGACCAGTGAACTCTAATAATAACTGGAAGGCTAACTCCTATGATGAAAGTCTATGATTCGTTGAAGCCGGCGCGCGGGAAAATCAGCTTTCAAAAGGACTAAGGAGAGTTTCGAGGAGTGAAAAAAATTCTGTCAACAGTTTGTTTTCGAGCAAAAATTTGCAAGAAAAACACTTTTCCCATGGGAATACAACAATGATTGGGATTTAAACCAAGTTTCCGATTAGTTCCGACTGTTTTACATCTCTCTGCAGCAAAAAGTAAGGAATTTTGCTTTTGTATTTTGAAAAAATGACGAAAGTTTGGACGTGCCGAAGGAAATCTCGCCGTTCAACTAAAAAATATATACTATAAAACATTTTGACAGTCCCAAAACTTATGTTGTACTAAACCCCAGGTATGGTTATTGATCCTGAGCTTTTAGTCCTTGTTTTAGCCGCTCTTAAACATAAATAAATTGGCGTTTTTCAAGTGATGTTATTTTCGTCATCGGCATCTTGTTGGCCACTATGAGCACTTTGAATATGGCAATATTTTTGTCAATTTTCAAATGCTTTTTTTTTCGACCTTAAAACGTTAAATCTTCTTGAAACTTCGCATACAGATGTATTTTGCATGGGTATAAAAAATTCCTGAGGTGTGACGTCTTAGTTTTATCTTAAACTTCCAAAAACTCAGAAAAAGCAGCCTAAAACGCGCGGTTTTTCAGACCGTTCATGCTTATGGTCGTGTTTTTAGCATTTTTTTTGCTAATTCGTGATTTGTTTGCTTTGCGAATATTAAATTCATTTATCATACTACTAATATAAATTAAATTTGGTAGTATAACTAATATTTTTGGGCAAGATTTTTCTGATCAAAAAATGTGCATATTTTGAAAAAAAAAATTAAAAAGGACTGGGTCTACCTACAAAAAAAGCTTCAAGCACGGCTTCAATTTCCCCCCCTGACTTAGCCTTCCAGTTATTATTAGAGTTCACTGACTCAGACACTCAGTTTCGGGATTTCGTGCTGTCAGATTTGCTAGGCATCGATAAAGGTCATCAGAAAAATCGCGAATACGATCAATAACATCATCAAGCTCTGTTGAAAGGCATTCCGTTACATCAGTCAATAACATTTCCAATCGCGTTGAAGAGCAGTTCGTACTCCGTTTTCTTCGATATCTTGATCGCCATTTTGTGTGAAAATAATTACGCGCCATTTATGCAGCGTTTTCGCGCCATTTGGAGCTAGTGCCCAATTGCATCACGGGATTGTACTTGCCAAATGTACGATTGTTGGCAAATATTAAAACGATACGTTTTATATGTTGTTGCAAAATAATACTTTGTCATTGAATGTTTTGTTATTGTTAATAAATGTCTTGTAACCGCCACAAAATTGTAGGAAAAGGTTACTTTATCGTTGCCAAATGTGTTATTATTGTAGCAAAATGTTACGTTATCATTGCCAAATGTGTTATTGAATTTTGACACACATCACCCGCCATACCTTTACACCCGTTTTCAAAATTACGCGACCTCCCTGAAAAATACTCTTACTTCGAATATCATTTTTATGTCACAAAAACTGCTAAAAATAGCAAACGTAAACAAACTGTCAAAAGACATTTTAAACCGTATTTAATACCAAAACTGAACAAAAATGAGTTAGATAACCTAGATATACAAACTAAAGCACAATACAAACCATATCACAACAGAAATATGTGCCGTGAATAACTTTTAAAGTTTGAAAAATAACAATTTATCCTGGAATTTAGCTGTCAGTATAAAACACGCGCGCTAGACTGTAACGGTGATGTTATGATTTTGTTGTGCTTAAATTTTGCAATAATTCTCACTAAAATATCTTGAAAATCATTGTAAGCCTGTTTATATAAAGCATACAAAGCATATACATCGACAAGGAACCGCAAAACTCAAATTTAAACTTCGTGACCGAATGACATAAAACTGACATGTCATGTCTAGCATTTTCGTCCTTGGTCGCGTAATTTTGAAAACGGGTGTAACAATCAATCACTTCAATTTGAAATAATTTTGATTTTTTAAGACGGATTTTTAAGCACAAGAAGGCGCGAAACAGCTCTGGAACAGCAGAGTTTGTCTAAATTCTAAAAGACACTAAAAAGTACGCTTACATGAAGTTTTGACTGAATGTAACTGTGGAATTCTGGGATTTGTCACAAAAAATAACAAAATTTTCTGAATGTGAACAGTTTTGGCACAGAATATTTGGTCTTTTACTGTAATATAAACACGGTTTTTTACCTATCAAAATGCCTGAAGGTATTGTATTTTATTTTAATTTTATTGTGGTTGTGCTATATTTATTGCAAATATTGTAAAATATCTGTTTGGTTTGATTCTAGACACACAAACATTTTCAAATCCATATGCCCCAGCTTCTGGTGGCATCATGAGAATGGACTCGATGGAAGATGATGGGTAAGAATTTTAATACATAATTTAAAACATCACTAACTTTTTATGGGTAAATCCATGCTAATATAGACATTCATAAAAATATTTTTCAAAAAAATGTTAAAACAACTAGTTATTTTGATACATACTCAGGGGCAATAACAAAGTTAGTTTAGATTACCAGCGTTTCAGATTTAAGCCTGCCGCACACAAGAGCAACTTGCTGAGCTAACCGTCGAGTGGCAGCTAGCTCAGCTATGTATTTTCACCGCACAAATTGGGAAAACTACTCAACAACAACATAATTAACAAAATTATTTGCATTTTCCTCCATTTTGTTCCATGTCACATGAAGAAACTATGGTTTGTCATTGGCTAATTGATTCAAACAGCTCAGCACTTAGCTCACAATATCCGCAGACGCTGAGATTTTTTCCTCGCGAGGTGAAAAATATCAAACATGATAGATATTTTCCTCAAGGCCTCGAGAGGTCAAATCCTCACGAAAACTATCCGCACACAAGAGCAACTTGCTGAGTTATCTGCCACGCGAGGCGGTTAGCTCAGCAAGTTGCTCTCGTGTGCGGCGGGCTTTAGGCCGGGTTTGCCGGGTCTTCATCACATTTCGCCATAGCAGAAGAAACAAATAACCCTTGAATAATTTGAAATTCCCCAACACATGTTTTGATACTCGTTTTGTGCGAAACTAGAATATTGATAGCAAAAAAAAATATAGAACTTGACAATATATAACAGTGCTTAAATAAAACGCATGTCAATGAATTAAACAAATATAGCATTGTAGCAAAGTACGGCAGGCTATGTGCCTAAAAGGTCAATCGCAGGTCAAGTGACTTTATGTAGATTTAATATATCAATATGGACGGATTAACTTTGAGCAGCTTCCTCCTGATCCAGAATCCCCGTTATTTCAGTTTTATGGTGATAAAGAAATCGATTTTCTTTGAATCTGATTTCCAAGATCAAGAGAAACATCTTCGTGAATGGCGATCTTTCAAATTTGAACTAATAGAGCTTAGGAAGAAATGGCTTCATTTCAAAGACCAGGTTATCGAAAATAAACTAAAGTTGAAGTATACAGCAATGGAATGGGTACTTTGTCAGATTTTGGATCAGTTGCAGGAAGAATTTATTCACTTTGTGGCAATAGCAAAGACAGCTCTTGTTGCACCAGTCTCAAATGCATGGTCAGAATAGGGTGGTAGCGCTATCAAACACATAAAAGCTAGATCTCGAAGCCAAATGAAAAACGACATGTCAGAAACTCTAATGATAATTTCACTGAATGGTCCAACTCCAAATAGTGAATTGGCTGACAAACTCATCAGGAAGGTTGCCGTGCGTTTCGAGTCAAGCAGCCAATACAAACGACCCACAGCAACTCGCATATTTCCAACAAAATCATCTTCTGTGTCTGTACAAACGGATGACATCTTGTGCCTTGAAAGTATAGATGCTGAACAAGAATCTGAAGCTTCCAACGAATAAATTAAAAGTCTGGAAGAACACCTAGACATCTCAGTAAAGAATGTTGAGTCTTGGGTTGCTGACCTGCAATCGGGAATATTATCAATATTAAAGATTCCACAGTCAGAACTCAAAAATCCATGATTTTTAGTTTTTTTTCCAAAATCCATGATTTTCCCTGAAAAATATTACCTTTAGGCCAAAAAAAAAATATGTGGGTTTCCGGTTTCCCGACCCTACCTAGCTTTTGGACGCCGAAATCCCGACCCTAAACTTTTTTATTGGATCATGCTTGTAAGTGTTTCCACTTAGAGGAAAAAGTTTGTGGAAAATTGAAATTTGAGGCAATATTAGGGAAATTTATCTTTGGATGTGGAAGCACTGACTAAACAAAATGGCGTCCAG